TTTCTATGAACCTGGATTCTTGCATCTTCTTGAATCTCAGAAGAGCTGAGACAGCTGTTTCTCATGACCAGCAGTGATGTTCAACTGAGACGTATGCTTGATCGCACATACCCCTTTGCCAAAATCACGTGGAGACTGACCTCTCCCTCTAGCTCTTTAGAGCAGCTCCTCAGAGCTCTCTGGGAAGCTATAGCTCCCGGGCTATAATCCTCAGTGAGCCCCCCAGTAAAACAGAAACCTACTTAGCTCTCACATTGTGTGTTATTTTAATTTCAATCGACAGGTTTGCTTTCATTTTTCTATCTGATCCAATGCTCAGAAGGCAAAATTAAATAAGAGATACCCTTTAAGGTCATGTGATGGAGAAATGTGGGCAGGTAATGAGTGGATGCAATTAGAATTCCTTTCTAGGTCCTGGTTTGAGCATTTTCATTAGCATACTCACTCTCCCTTTGTCTTTAGTCTTCCCGGTGCTCTCCAAGCTTCTGCGAGTTTTGTGTGCAAATGCCCTGGCTCTCTCCAATTTAAACAAAAGCCCAGAACTTGCGCACAGGCTGAGAAAGAACAGTGGTCTTCTCAAACTTCAAGGCAAAGCGTTACTGAGGCTGTGGGACAAACCAAGACATCCCACTACTCTAGAGGTATTAAAAACCAAGGGAAGAGACTAAATTTGATTGTATGAGGGAAACAATTTTCTCAAGGATATACAGAAAGAGAAATGTAAGGAGAGGGGTATTTAGAAAGTCAGCATCACACTCGAAGCCGGGCGCAGCCCTCGTCACAGAGTCCAGTTACATCCTAAATCTTCGTCTTTCATACATACGTACTGATCCCTAAATCCCTATTTTTGGATGATTTACCTTCCCTTTTTTACAGTGTCTAGAAAACAATTTTGACATCCAAGCATGTCCAGAAACACACCCTAGACACATGTCAAGCTACAGACACCCTAACACGTTCTTCCATCATCTAGGAAAGCTGGCCAGATGCGGGTGTGCAGACATAGGGGAGCCCAGGGGAGAAGAGGAGGCATTCTGCTCTGTCGGCCGCCCAGGCAGGCTCTCATTAGGCCCCAGTAGCCTCATCACGCTGAAGGAGGATGATAAGAGCTTGGAGGGAGTCCAGAGGACCACCTTCAGAAGGTGGCAACATTTGAGAAATAATCCTGAAGGGGCAAGTTGAAAGGATCCAGTCTCGTCTGCCTGGATAACAGCTTGTAAGCACACAGCAGGGACCAGTCTGGCGAGGCCTGGGCTGGGTGGTGAGAAGGCAGCTCTCAGGGCTCACAGGGACCAGGGACCGAGAGGTAATGGCTTTGAGGGCGATATTTGCATTTCTAAGGAGATCAGGGGCTGTCAGATTTCGCACCCTATGTTCAAAGGAAATTACTGCTGGCCCTTTGTTACCCCCCTTCCTAGAATCAAGGATAATTAGCGATAGTCTAGTTTAGAACAATAAACCTCAGAGAGAAAGTGAGCTCTCAGTTCAACACTTAGGTCACTGTTAGTTCTGTGGTTCCCTGATTTGACACGGAGAGCTGTCACTTTAAAAATGTCAAGTGTGTGTTTCTGAGTGAGTTTGTGTGTGTGTGTGATCGTGAGTTAAGTATGTATGTGTACATGTGATTATGTGAGTCTGTGTGTCTGAGGTTGTGAGTGTGCATAAGTGTATTGTCAGTGTGTATGTGTGTGTGTGTGCGCGTGCTTGTATGTGTGTGAAGTGGACGATGGGGCTCTCATCTCCTTCCTTTCCAGAAAAAGAAGTACAAACACTTCTTGGGAACATTTTTTCAATGAAAGCTGGCACTTCTGTCTGGAGATACACCCTAGCTGCTCCTTCCTTGAAGGAAAGCCTGCCTTCCACATGGACATGCTCATCAGTTTCTACCCCAGCACCTGCCACAACAGGACTAGAGATGGCGCCGTCTGCAATGGAACGGGGATCCCTGAGGCCATGGGCCGCAGATGGAGGAACCACACGGATATCACTGGCTGTCTATAAAATCACTCACACATCTTTCTTCCTAGCTCGTGGCCTTCTACTTCACCAGAGAAGGAAAAAAAGAGACAGCGACTTGCTCCAAGTTCAAAATACAACTTTACACAGTTTTGCTTTCGTAACTAAGAAAATAGCTTTCTCATGGCAGCCGCAGAAACTCAGTCTAACCTCCAAAGATCCGCATTATGACAAATGCCAAAATACGTGGTTGCATTACTATAAAATTTCAAAGAACTGTCACTTTCCCCTAATTGCCCTGTGCCTGCTCTATTTATTCGGGAATAAATTAAGAAAGAAAAGATCTATTTTTCATCTCTCTGAGTTTCAGGGAGTATTACGTGTTGTGTGAGACACTCTAAACGCTTTAGACCTCATGCTTCTTTCCTGGGCTTCTCACTTCCTCTTACCTGGTTTAAAGTTCCAGGCAGATGAGATTCTACATGTGCCTGCCGCATTACCTGCAGCCAAAATAGACGGCAAAGCCAAGCAAGCAATACCTCCACTTTGATTTTCACACGGATGTCCTCGGTGGGCAGTTGGTTCTCTAGAAGGGGTCAGACATTGTTGGCCTAGTCTCCCGGGGTGAGGGCCAGTCCCTTTGGGCTACCTCTGCCCACCTCTGCTGCAGTGACACCAGACGCTTTCACCTCCCTCCCCTGCAAGCCTTCTTGGAAAATTCCAACTATTGGACGAAGCGCTGAGTGAAAAAGCTAGTGCTGAAGGAACTGGAAAGAGACATGATACGAACAAGCTGTAAAAAAGCACGCGGTTCCTTCTCCGCGAGCAGGAGGTCAGACTCCTCAACAGATAAGCGCTACTGGAATTATCTCAGGGTTCAGGGATTGCTGTTGTTTGTTTTAAACAGATCGCATGATCTTCCAGTGATTTCCTGGTACCAAGTCTACTCATCCTCAATGAAGCATCCTGTGTTTTAATAACTGTTGGGAAAAACTGGTATTGGAATAACACTTTTTAAAAAAAGTTACTAGGGTGATTATTTGTTTGATCACTAGGTGTCCCATATCCTAGTTTGTGTATGACTATTCTGTCTTAGATTCAAAACAAGTTTAAAGGTCTTTTACCATTGCCTTGGGTTACTGAGCAAAGGGCAGTGTAACTTAAGGCGACATCGCAGTCAGGAGCATGGGGATGAGGCGGGAAGAGGATCTTCAGTAAGTGCCCGTTGACTTTAGTTCAATTCCAAGTTGCAGGAATGCACAGCAAAGGTCTTCTGAGCCATGTTTACCCCATTAGCTACAGGATGTAGGAATAGGTGACTAGTACATCAGAGCACAAACCACAGAGGAGAGACTCAGGCCAGCCTTCTAACCCGTAGCCCTGGCAGCCCATCCACAGTGGGGATGTGTGCCAGAATTTCTGCTGGCTGGAGGGGAAACATGGAGCCGATCAGTGACTGGGGGCTGGGGGGTGGCTTTCTCATGTTGCTGTGTTTTCAAGGAAGAAGGACATCCCAGCAGGTAAGAGAAGGGTTGATAACACAATGGCACAAAGATTATACTTTGTTTCCATTCTAGAAGTTACCCCAGGAACCCGCTCTCACTGCAAATTGAAAGGGCTTAGGATGAAATAACTATAAGAATCATTAGGGGGATAAAGCAAAATAAACAAGGTGCACAAAACCTCTCTGCAACGCCAAGGTAACGTAACAGAAAAGCACATAGACTTGGAAAACGGATTGTATTAATGCTATCCTCCGCCAGCTAGCTAAAGTTCTCTCCTCTCTGTATCTAATTATTTTAAGCTTTAAAAATTAGTAAATGTAATATTTTGGAACAGCTTTCATCAACTAAGACGGCAGCTTATCGTGGTGAGGTTAACTGGGTTATATATGTCTTTATCCATTGTCTTCTGTTTTCTACCTCTTTTATACCCCAAAAGTGTTTGAGGAGGATTCATTTCATTATGAAGGCATTTACTATTTTAAATTAAGACACGAGAAATTCTAAATGGCACTTGAGATACCCTTGAGAGAAGTCTCTCATCTCGTGTTTGTAGATACTGTATATCTTCATAAATCCAGTCCTGTGAATAGTTAAGCCAGATCAAATGAGTAAAAAGCACCGTATCTCCCATTAGAAAAATAATGCAATCATTCTTCTTAGTTATATTTTTAAAATGGCTTGACATTTTAAAGAATTGATGAATATGTAATTTGCTAATCAGTAATGGGCAGTTTCCACGGAGGAATCATCACTAGTCATATAATTTACTATTTCAGAGGAGTTTTATGGATGCAAAGATTAAAGCTGGGAAACAGGGAGAAACCACTCCAGGAATGACATTACCCTATTTTACACCCATAATATTGAGCAGAAACAACAATTAAGCTTCACAAATTACGTCAATGTATTGAATTCCTATTGGACGCGTTATAGATAGAGCATTTACGTGTGGTGATTTTTCCCCAGACTGAATTCCCTGTACACAACCATGTACCCAAATGAACATCAGAGCAACATATGGTCCTATGAAGCATTAAGTGATATGGTAGCTTATGCCTTTATTTCTTGCCTTTGCTCCAAATGATAATAGAGATCTCATTTACCATGCAGAAACACTTAGCATTCCCTTACTGAGAGCATTTCTGATATTGTTGGCATAAGGGAGAAAAGTCTTTTATTTAAAGACTGCCTTATTCATCTACAGTTTTGGGGAAATATCTAGCTTATCTGGTTGGTCAATTTGTCTTTATGGCCTAAGGGAACAAAAAGGACTAGCTGCCATGTTCAATCCAAATGAGGTGGTATATGAATATTTATAAGGATATCAATATTCACAGTGTCTTACAATCATGCTCCAAGCTAAATAAAATTAAAAGTAAAACGGCCACAAATATTGCAGTATAACAGGATAAGAATTAAACGATATGTACAAAGTCACTGACAACGTCTGTGCAAAGGCTGTGGACAAAACATTTAAAAAGAAATCTACATAAAACAAAGTAGATAAATTTATCAAATGTTGATAAATTTTCGGAGACAGTATAAAAGTACACAAAACATGGAAGGGAGAAAGAATTTTAAAAAATAACCACTAAGCCAATACATAGAAGTACAAGTTTACTACATTTATATTACAGAATGATGCAAATCAGAGACAAAAAAAAAAAACGATTTGGTAACAAACAGCAAAGAAAGTTGCACCAGTCACAGGGAAGAAGGACTTTCCTTTTCGGATGAAAACACAGACTGCCACAGCTCATCCCCCACCCACCCCATACACACAGAGAAAAACAAAAGCGAATGCGAACGCTGTTACAGCAACACACGACAGACAGAGGTGGAAAGCATTTGGCGTGTCGCATCACAGGAAGTCAATCACGATTGGCTAAGGATGATGGTACCTGGCTCTGTTGCAGGTCACCGGCTTGCCTGAGAGGAGTGACTGATGGAGGGGGCACGCCGGACGTGGACGCGGACCGGCCTAGCTTGCAGCTGGCTTTCGGTTCTGTGGACAAGGCGGAAAGACAAAGCGTTAGCGGAGCGAAGTCTGCAGCGATGAACCGGCTTCCAGGCTTTCTTTTCGTTTTGCTGCAGGTTCTTTTAACGCCCTGAATGCTTCTGATGTTTGCTAACCATTGGCAGGGGATGGAGCAATTTCATAACGATTCTGAAACGAGCTACATTCACAGATCGGCTCCTGGGAATAAAGAACAAATCACTTAAGCTCAAGACCTTGTTCCCTTACACATTTTACCCCATTTAGTGCAAGTTCCTATACGGTGATTATTGGAGCAACAACGTCCCACTAGGGAAAAAAGCCAGTGACATGACTATTTCTGATGCTTCGTTTTCAGCTTTGGTCCATGGGTCTCCTACGTCCTAAAATGTCCTTTCCACCCTCTCCAGATTGTCCTTCCATCCCTCCCTCCTTTCATTCTTTCTTTCTTTTTTTTTCCTTCTTTTATTCTCTTGCTCTTTCCTTCTTTTTTCTAATTTTCAAGTCTATGTTGTTGTGCTGACTACTTTTATCGTGTTTTGAAAGTAACATTTCTCTAATTTAACCTAATTTGCTTTTAGTTCTAAGACTTCTACAATCTTTCATAATCATATTATTTTTCAAAATTAAAAAGACTCCCCTTAAACCTTCCTCTATTTAAGGAGCCTAAACGGACTGCCTAGGTCATTGTCAGGATGCTCTGGAGATGAGAATTTGAGGATGGATGTGCTTCTTGCCTGTTCATCCAAGAAGCATAGAATTTTGGTACACAGAGGACACTGATTTTCAGATTTACTTGAAGGTATTTATAAAGGAGAAGAAAATAAGGTATAAAAAGATAAGTTGACATCTGTGCTTTTTGTCACAAACTTTTACATAAGCTGTCAGTTTTTGAGTGCCTTGTATAGCCCAGCTTCTGTCTGGGCTATTCCTAAATTATCTCTAATCTAAAAGATGATCTTTAGAACTACAGACTTAGCTATAAATGCTCCCAGTTTATGCGTTGGAAACCTGAGGCTCAGCAAGGTTAATATTTACATTGCAAATACACAAGCCCTTTTCAAAAAGCCTTTCATTATAAATTTGACTTGAAAGATTAAATTCCCTGAACACCTGGCTTCAAATGATATTACATCACTAATTTACTAAGCGGGGACACACGGATGCTGGAGAGCCGGAAGGTGCCCGGTTCTGCTCACATGGTGGGTAGAAATATTACCTTGATGCCACTTTTATACAAGCTGCACTTCAGAGTCAAGTGTTGCTACGTCTGCACCAAGGAACTTTTCCCTGCCGACTCTAGCCTCTGCCAACTGCCTTCCTGTCACTCCCTCCCCATCCCTCACAGACATCAGCTACAGACACACAGAGTAAGTTTACACCCATTCATGCAGAGATCCTTACACACATCCCCCAACACACACACCTTTCCTCTCCTACCCTACTTCCCCTATTACACAATGCCTCACATCCATATCAGAATTATCATCTCAAAGGGTACCAAGAGCCTCTTTCTTGGCAAATTAGTCTTTGCTTCTGATTTAGTGGGGGAAAAAGACAACAAACAGGCTTTGGACTAAGATGATTTTGAATCTGACTCCACGAGTTATGTAATCTTAGAAGTGTTTTAATATCAGTAAGTTTTATTTCTTTTCAAATAAAGTGAATAAAATCACTTACTTGACATTCAGCATTATTTATTTTATACCGTGTGCCAGGGACTGGGCAGGGTATGGTCACCAAGAAAGCCACTCCTGCCCTAAGAGAGCTTCCAGTCTATCCAGGAACATAGATACTAGACAACAAATTCTGCATTTGATTATATAAAAGCAGTTGTGATCGGCCCTCCTGCTGGAATTATCAGTGGTAGAAGAGCGTTACTGGAGGGAACAAGCAAGCCTTGGAAGGACACAGACATCTTCTCTGTGGTCAGGAAAACTTCAAGAGCTCATTTGCTCTGTGTTCCTTCAACAGAGACTTCTCGAGGGCCCACTACATGCAGAGCACTGCAGTAGACGCTGAGGATGTGGGTGAGGACCACACCAATTACCCGTATTTTAACAAGGTTTGTGTTTTCTCAGGGGAAACAGACATTATGCCAAAATTGTTTGCTGAAAACTGGTGAAAATTAGGAAGGAGAAGTCCAACGTGCCACGGTATCACTTATTGAGAATATGCCTCGTATTCTGGGAGCCAGGGGAGGCTGGGCCCTGAAAATGCTGCGGAAATTAACACCTGCCGACAGCTCTGAGCAGGTGGCAAAAGCTCACGTAGGGAGGACCCCGGGTGCTTAGATTTATTTTTCAACCTACCCAGAAGCCAAAAGTATTTCAGGATAGTTGCATTCACTTTATTTCTTATACATTATAGAGAAATAGTAATAAACAAAATATTCTAGTATCCAGGAAAGTAGGGGCGAGGTGAGCTAATGATGGATAAAGGATGGAACCTTTTCCACCTGTGATGCTTACAGCCTCATGTCTCTTCTCTCTGTTCTTTTCGCGTTGTCTCTTTGTCTTGTTTTGTTTTCTCTGCACTTTCTCTCTCGGGACACATGCATTCTCATGCTTCTTATATAATCTTTTCCCTCTTGGGTCCCTTGGAGGTTCCTCCAGCTCTGTCCTCTCCCCATGGTCTTGCTTGATTTTGAGCCCCAGTGCCTTCCAGACAGTAGTCCCTCATGTTGCCTATTGTTGAAAACCAACTTATGGCTTTTCCTCAACATCTTTGGGGTCCTTCTGGTTTCCCCATTTCTAGGAGAAATATCACCTCCATTTTCCTAGAGTCTGAAGTCCAGATCTTGTTCCTTTTTAAATTCATAGGTTTCTTTTCTTCTCTCTGTACTTAGTCCGATCGGTAATTTTTTTTTTTGTGATTTAATCTCAGCTCACAGATGCTATCATAATTTTGGTCTCAACAACTTGAGCGAAAAAAATCTGTATAATATATGTGATGTATTATATATAATATACACTTATAGATTAATTATAAATTGATTACATATTATATATATTATATAATGTATAATTTGAAATATGTATATTTATATGTAAAATCACTTAGCTGGTCCCATACCCATAATCTCTCTGCTCAAAACTAGCTTGTATACAATGCCAAGCTGAGCTTCCTAGCTTGCTTTTAGGTCACTCACCTTATGCAGAAATTTCAAATTATTCCATATTCCATATAATAAAAACTTTAAGCTCATTTGACTAATTTTTTTCTGTATTATAATGTGAAGGGCTTGCGATTTTTTAATTGAAGTATAGTTGATTTACAATATTGTGTTAGTTTCAGGGGTACAGCAAAGTGATTCAATTATACATATACGTGTGTGTGTGTGTGTGTGTGTATATATATATATTCTTTTTCAGATTCTTTTCCATTATAGGTTATTATGAGATACTGAATATAGTCCTCTGTGCTATACGGTAGGTCCTTGCTGTTTACCTATTTTATATATAGCAGTATGTAGCTGTTAATCCCAAACTCCTAATTTATCCCTCCCCTCCCAACCCCTTCCCCCTTTAGTAACCATAGTTTGGTTTCTATGCCTGTGAGTCTATTTTGGGTTTGTAAATAAGTTCATTTGCATCAATGTTTTTTAGAGTCCACATATAAGTGATATCATATGATATTTGTTTTTCTCTGTCTGACTTACTTCACTTAATATGATCATCTTTAGGTCCATCCACGTAGCTGCAAATGGCATTTCATTCTTTTTATGGCTGAGTAGCATTCTATTGTAATATATACACCACATCTGTTTTATCCATTCATCTGTCGATGGACATGTAGGTTACTTCCATGTTTTGGCTAATTTGACTAATTTCAAAGCCCTCCCCATGATCTGGCCCCATCTGATCAGAGCCAATGTATCTTTCACTGCTCTCTGCTCCCGGAAACACACACAACTCAGTCTCCTCCCTCAGTCTCCACACCTGACCCTCCTTCAGTCCTTCACAAGGTGTCCATCAAACCAAATTTCACCTATTTTCCAAGGCCTACTTCAGTGTGCACAGCCACTGTAAAGCACCCTGTGATCTCGTTTACCTCCTCTCTTCTGAGCGCCCTTAGCCCTCATGTACCAAGTGCACTGCCTGCGGCAGCTCTGAGCATTTCTGCTGGTGAAGACCACACAGTAAGTGCTCAATTAATACTATTTTTCTTTC